CCCCGGAGCCGTGTGAGGGACGTTTTATTATGGATGTGCGCACTTTATTTCACGTCTTCTGAACTGTTTACAACCAACACCCGCTTACCCCCACTGAAAGGCTTGGAGGGGCCAGGACAATTTGTAATATAACTCCGATTGGATTCGTCTGAAAGAAAAAAGTCACATACACCTAGGATGCTTCCAGGGTGAGTAAAACACAGGCTAATTTTCCTTTTTGGGTGAACTAACGCTTTAAGCTGTCTATCAAACGTAGGCCAGAGTCATGGCAAGCATGTCTTGAGGATACACATTCCTTCTCACTTCAGTTAAAGTACACTACATGTACTATGCCACTCAAAGCAAGTTCAAGCGCATGTACATGTGTTTAGGTAACTCTTTTATCATGTATTGCTTATTGTGACTCCTTAAAGCTACCTATAGGTGTAACTAATCTTACCTGTTATGACCGATTGTTGCAGGGTTGGTCTTATAGCAGGACACATTCCAGAAATACTTGGGTGTGTTGCAGTCGTGATGGCGTCTTGAGCCATAGTGCAAGCTTGAATATAACCTTCTGACCTTGATCTTCCTCAAGCACTCACACCACTTGCCCTAACCTGCACAAAACACTCAGCTCTCGGTCAAAAGATTGCCATTTCTAACATGCATTTCACAAAACAAGGAGCCTTTAAGCCTAAAATACACAGCTTTAAAAGGTCTTCAATAGTATGCATGCGTGTGTAGGCAAAAAGAGAAGAAAAAAGTTTCAATTGCCTTTGTTGCTCAAGTGCATAACAAAAAGCGTATCAAATCATATCACTTTTGCTCAACTAAACAAGCCATACAATCATGTGCCAAAGTATTCTAGCCTGAAGCCTCGGAGTAAAAAAGATAATTGTGGGATAACATTTGAAAAAAGAAAAAGTTACAATGTGAGATATACAGTCAAAATGGCGAGATTCAAAGTCAAATTTCAAGAAGTAAAGGCACAATGCGAGATATAAAGCCACAATTGGGAGATTTTTATCTTGAGGCTTTCAGTTCATGTTAGTGTATTACTATATCTGCTTCATTTACAATACAAGAGAATTTTTCCACAATACCCCAGGGCTGTTCACTCAACCTGCGGTTTTGCACCAGGATAAGGAATGTTTGAAGTCTTGTAGGGGTTCTGGAAGTCTGTAAATGTCTAATACCATAGCAAAACACTGTTCAGTGATGGTATCATGTACTACATTGAGTGTCACGGTGGGTGAGCGAGATTCTGTTGACGTGTGCTGGCACTGACACGCGGTTCACATTGTCTGTTTCCTGCTCCTTTTCTCCAGGTTTTCTTTCAGACACTTCCAGACATATATCTTATTTAACATCACAAGCCACCAGAGACTGAAGTGGATATCATTCTAGCGGACAAGCCACTGATATTTGCTATGCTCTTTCATGGTTAGCGATAAGGGGTTAGGACATTGGAAATGCAGCCTAAAGCTCATTCACTCGACAGGAATCTGCTACTTTGGACAATCCCAAGATCTCTTTACAGTGGGACTCTTGTTCTTGACCTGTCCTGGCTTCATGCCTTGTGGAGGGAGGTGGGGCCATGAGGAGGGGCCTTTAAAAGTGTGTCCATTCCTCCAAAGCTGATCTTTTATCACCTCCAGCTCCAGCTCAAGTCCTGTGCCTCTGTGGCCTTTTCTCTATTCAGCAGGCCGTCTATTTTCAGAACAACTGATTCTTGT